TTTGTGGGCTAGAATTTTTTTTTTTGGCTGGGCTAATACATTAAAAACTAATATAAAATTTTATATTCAGATATAAGTTAGTCTTGCTGCCCTGCTTCCCCCTGGATGAACCCTTGCTAAAAAAGAAAGAGAGGTATCTAAAGACTTTTGCAAGTCACAACACTTCAAAGAGGGAAGAGGCTGAAAAATCACTTCTGAATCACAAATCCAGTCTTTGCCATGCATGGTAAACAATCTCTTCAAAGGCTACACGTGTCATTGCTGTTATAGCAAGCATCATGACGAGAAGCAGTTAAAACTGATTCTTTTCCTTCGTTTTGGGTCACTCATCACTGTCCCGCTATAAGGATGGAGAAAGCTGATCCGACTTCTCATCAACTTGATTATCAGACTGGCGAACTCTACCTACCAGTTTTCAACTCGTCCCTACTGGAGAAATTGGAAATAAGAATCTCAATTTGGAAAAGAAAATTGTTGTCCTCCTGAAGTCAACTACTAGACATGCTGTAGTCTTCTTATGCACATTCTCTAGTTTTCTTTCGTTAGCTAGCCTAGACTTCAGTTACTAGTAAGGAGATAAGACCTTGCAGCCTGGATTGTGTTTTTCCCTCTAAAACCCCCATTTAATAAACTTGAGCAGTTGAAATCAGATAAAAATACCACAGATACTATAACTCTGCATGACACTAGTCCACAAAAATTTTAACTTAGTGAAATGAAAAGCTGAAAAGATTAGTAAATTAGATGGTGACCTTCAAGAGAAGCTCTTAGAGGTCCAATGTAATCCGAGAACTCTATCTGTTGTTTAGGACACAGTGTTCGGTTTAGGTTTTGTTTTCCCGCCAATCTGACCCAGGTATCAATTTTGGGAACTTGGTGTTGGATTATAAATTTTAAAGAGATCATATTTGATCCTCGTGTTTTAATTTTTTTTTTTCTTAATTTATGTTCAATTCAACCACATATTTTCTCAATAAAATAATTTTATATATAAATTCAAAACTTTTTCTTAATTTTTAATCTCATATTCTCTAAAAAATTACAATTACAAAATCTATTCCCCAAAAAGGACTCAAACAAACTTTAAATTTTGAATAGGTTTTTATATCTCATTAAAAAATAGTGAAATTTCAAGAGTTTTTTTATGTGTATTTTTAAGTTTAAAATTCATCCAAATCTCTTCAAATTTCTTTATCATTGAAATCATTACAAATTCATTTGTTAGTTATGACATTTAGATTTTAATGGATTAAAATATCAGTTAGTAATACTTAGATTTTAATGAATTTTAATAAAATCTATTATAATCTCTATAGAAAATACTTGAATTTACAAGGACTTTTAAAATTTACTAAATTCTTAATTAAAGACACCCCCATTAATTTGCAATGGAAAATTTTTAAAACTATAAATATTTCAAAATACAATATCAAAAATAAAAAACTTATGAAAAAATTTCAAAAATTAGATAGTCACATTTACAAATCATGATCACAATAATACATAATTTATACTAACAATCATACACTAATCACAAATCACGCAATGTCGCGATCACAAAGACAATTTCTGGAGCACAATTATAACAGATTTAGTCACAAATCACACATTTTTATTAATCGAAAACTAATTATTGGTCACACATTACCAAGTAAACTCGTCATAATCACTCTTCATCTCACCCATTCATCCCACCCCACCATCACGGTACCATCCAAATCGTCGTCACCACCTTAATCCATAATCAACAACTACCATGACCACCGCTTCCACCTTTACCTCCAACGACTGCCATCACCATGTGCATCTCAAATCTAACCCAAACACACAACCATAAGTCCTACAATAACTACTGCGATGAGGCGTGGTACGATGGAAGGTCCTATAAAATTGACACAGCAAAGCATCGTCGAAGAGGATCTTGATGAATTCAATGCCCGCATTGTGCTTGGCTTCAGATTCAACTCGTCGAAAATGGAAAAACGTTTATTGAATACTTTATCGACATATGGCTTCTACTACTCAATTAGCAACCATTACAACAACATTGTTTCAAAATACCACCTTTATCATCTCCATCAACTTCTATGTGAGGAGGTTAAAGTCGTGGCTAGCGATAGTGGTGCGGCTACACGAACATGGGGGTTGGGTGAAAATGGGGTTACAGCTTCTACAATAAGTGGGTGGGTGTGGAATAGGGTGGGGGTAAAGTACACCTGATTTTTGGGTGGGGTGAATCTTAGGGTGTGTTTGGTTGCGAGTATATAATTTGTATGGAAATGAAATAAATTCTAGGCAATTTAGTTGTCTAGAACTTATTTATATGAAAATTATTAATTAAATGTGTTTGATTGCTTTAGTTTTTAACCTTGAAAATATTATATTTGTCCTTTTTTATTGGTGGATAGATGAGAGAGATAATATACATAGAGAGAAAGAGAGGATGGATTCCCTGAAAAATAAAATCCTACTCCTTCTAAAGAAAATAATTTCTTTAATTTTGAGGAAAGTATGGTCACGTGACCAACTAAAGAAAATATTTTCTACTTTTTAACAACATATTTTTCAAAAAATATATATATATATTTTTCATATTCTCAAAAATTCTACATCAAAAGGCTCTAAAAAAATTTACAAATTCAAATACACAAATATAAATTTAATTCTTTAATGTTAAACTATTATTTTTTTTGTTTATTTTTTTTACAACATATTTTGTAACATAGTGTGTTTACATTGTGCTGTATTGTGTTGTACACTTTTGTTTCCATGGGAAATGGAGTTCTATTACTGTCATCACTTGTAAATTCAGTGTTACATTTTCGTCACAATAATTACATTTAGCATTCATTATTACACTACCGTCTACATCACCATTTATCAAATTTTGTTATATGCGCCCACTTAGTTATGGGTTAGAGCATTGAAAACAATACTACAACTAGTTCCAAGGCCTCGTATACACACCGGTTTCCTTTCTTGGATTATTTCTGATTAATTTCTCGACAGTGCCCTTTGAATATTCATTTAGATATGGGAATAGTGCCAATAAAAAAAAATCTCTTAATTTTGATTAACTTTTGAGAATATTCTCCATTTCCCCTATTATCACTTTTGTACACTATTTAACTTATTGTACATATCATTTCAAGAAGGAGGTTTGTACATCGACTCATTATAAAATAATGTATAAATTACTTCGTAAGAGATTAATATTTTTGTTAATTAAATAATTTAAACGTGTAATGCTACCATTACCACCTTCAAAATAATTATAGAATCCAAATCGGGAATTAAAAAAAAATGGAGATATATTCTTGGAGAGCAAGGGTTGTCGATGATTTTAAAACATTGTGAGTAATTTTAAAATATTGCATATTGATTAATTATCACTATTTTCAATAGCGTGCAAGATTATCCACATAAATAAGCTAGTGTAACATCGAATGAGACGTGGTGAAAGGGACGTCTAAATGTTTTGGATGCAAGTTAATTTTGTCACTCTAAACATTCATGAATAAAAAATATAAAATGTATTTATAAAATGCAATGAACAAAATTATACAATTAAAAAAAAAAACTACTTTTGGTCTTTGAAACAATTAATCAAAATTAAAATATGTTTATATGAATAACTTTTTAATAACATTAATTGCTTGGTTAAGAAAATTGGTTCTATTGTTATGAAAATTGGCGTAAATTCTCAAACTTTTACCGATCTTGCATTTCAGTCCCCAAATCTTTAAATCTTGACATTGATATCCGAAACCTATGCCATTAGGTGCAAATTGGTCCTTCTAATAGAATTTCTTCCAAAATAACCATTAGTTTTGCGTGTGAACTGTACTTTTTATTTGTTTTAACTGAAGGGCTAAATTCGTCAAACTAATTAGAATAAAATAAGTAAAAATAAAGAAAAGATTTTTTAAAAAAAGAGATAAAAATATCATCTTGTTCCCCCACCCCACTAATACCGACAATGCATGAAACCAACCATCCTCGCCATCCTCCACACCACCAATCTAGTCCTAAACCCCCACTAAAATCTTAGCCCTCGTTTGGTCCCATTAGTATTATTCATTGCTCATTTCTACTTATTTATAATTTAATTTGATGATAAAACAATTCGCAATCATACTTTTAATTGAAGATCATTTCAATCCGACCAATGGTGAGGTGCTACGGCCATGGGGTGGAGTGGTATGGGGTGGGATAGAGAGGATGATCATGATGAAAATTTCCCTTCAATTAGAAGTCCAGGAGCAAGACTAACAATCCTTTTTTATCGAATTCATCCAAAATGACCAACAATTACACGCCTAATGGCATAGCTTTGGAACGTCAATGTAAAAATTCAAAGGTCTGTGATCAAAATGCAAGATGGATTAGGGCTGTAAGCAAAAACCG